AGGGACTCCTTTAGGATTCCTTGAAGGGTTCTATATCTAATAAGGGTACCATATGGGTTTAGGGCCAGTTTAGGGTGTTGGTGAGGGACTGCATAAGGGCTTCTTGATTTAGGGTTTATGGTTGCAGGGCCAAGGGTGCTACAAGGGTACGATATTATGGGTTTAGGGCTCGGGGAGGGCAGAGTCCTTGGCATTCGGGGGTCTTGGCTTGGGGGTTTGAGGGTTGCGAGTGTTTAGTGTCGAGTTTGGTAATCTACGGGTTTAGGGTATGCGGGTTTCAGGGTTTACGGTGAACACAGCTCGCGACAAAATGTGCGAGTTTCAACGACGTTGTTCTGGTATGTTAAGATGTTCGGATCCTGGATTCCATATGTTTGGGGTGGCTTGGGCGTCAGCTCCGAATCACAGTTGAAGCCTTTGCGCCTTGAAGGCTCTGCTTCTGGGTTTGGGAGCCTTACCCGAAAACCTAAACCCAAACCCTACAGGCCCTACATAAACCCTACAGGCCCTACATAAACCTTAATGTTGTTCTGGCTTTTATGGTTGAGGGCTTAGTGTCTCGGGCTTAGGGCTGTTTGGTGATTTTGGGACTGGGTGTTGCCTTCATTTTGTGTGTGGGCCGGAGAAGGCTTTAATTCAAGGCTTAGGGTGAATTGAAAGAAAGATGACAGTCTGCACATGGTACGAGTATGAAGAGACTGTGATCCGCCCAGGGTTGAAACTTCGAGCGGGTAAAGTCTGTAGTGACTGGAGTCTAGCACCTTTACGTGACGGCAGCCCGAAGCCTTGAAGGTGGTATCCCCTTGGGGCCACTCTGTATACTGAAGACGAGACCCATGTCTCTAAATGAATATCCTGGTAGAGCTCGGAGATGCGGTATTAAGGTAACAACCCAAATTCCCTCGGGCCTTCAAGACAGGGCTTGTGGGAATCAGGCGTCTCGGTTCTGTTGATCCCTCTACAACTCTAAATGCGGAACCCTGGACCCGGATCTACAGAAATCTACCACGAAGACTTTCCCGGGGATCCGAAGCAAACCTACAGGCTATACCCTACTCGTACAACTAAGGGGTAATTATTTTAGCGTTTTGTACGGTTTGGGGCTACATGCAGGTTAAGACCCTTACAGCTCAAAGGAACTCTAAGCCAACGAGAAGAGCAGTCTTTGGAACAGCGATCAGCATTGCGCCGAGCCTTTGCAAAAGGAAGCACTTCACTTAGCAGAACCATAGCCATTCTCGAGAGCTTCGCCACCTCAGGCAGGTGTTAGCGGACTTGCAGCGGCGTCAGCAAGCAGCAGCTAAGGAGGCTTGCGAGCCGTAAAGTGCTAGATTTTGGCGTTTGGGTGGGCTCTTGGAGTTTATGATGTATAGGTTTTGGGGATTTAAGATGTATGCCCTAAACCTCTAATTTCTAATCCCTAAACCCAGACCATATAATATTCACTTTGGTATTTAGTCACAGGTTAAGTTCTCTATAGGTTCCTGGTTCCTCCTCCGGATTTTGCGTAGTTTGTCTGCGGCGGCATCCAAGGTTCAGGGATAGCTCCCCCAAACCCTAAACCCGCTAAGCATCTCAACCCCAGTCCCCCAACCTTGAACTTGAACCCTCAGCCCTTAAACTCTACCGCAAATTGACTTGCTGGAATACCCTGAACCCTTAAACGGCATACAATCCCTGGACAGCCCTAGATGAAACGGTGCTTGCGGGGTCCTGGTTGGGAAAGCAAGCCTCATCCCGAAACTCACTACTTAGAAGCTTCAGTGATAAATTCTATAACCTCCAACTCCCGGGCGCTAAGCTATAAAACGTTATTTGTTATTTGAACATCTATTTAATAAAATTCCTTTGAAGATCCTAAGAAACCCAATTGAAATCTTCCAGCGTTCTTCTCGAAGCCCAACAGAAACTTATTGGACATCCTACGAAAAGATATAAAAGCCTTCAGCCGAGACTTCGTGGTTCTTGGGTCTTTAGGACGTCCGAAATGTCCGATTGCGGCAGAATGTGTTAGTTTGCAAAGGTTTGTGTTGTCAGGCTTTGCGTTATAGGGCCCGTTATGATAGGGTAAACCCGAAATTATGGATCCTAAAAGCCTGAAGAACTGGGCTCATGCGTCCCCACTCTACAGTACAGGCCGCGCGACGCGCCCTTGAGCGGCAGAAGCGGCGTGCAGGGGCCCCGACTAGAACACCCAAACCGGTTCTTTTGGAATAGGGCTTTGAGGGGGTCTACTATTATGGTAGCATCATATGGAGATCTTACGTAACCTGTGTGCGACCCTCAGGGGTCTCTTGACGACTTTTCTGGGGCCACGGCTTGCGTTTCCGATTCAGGGTTTGGCGTTGAGGTTTTTGTTCCAGTGTTGGGGGTTTGCACAGCATCAAAAGTTGGCGACAGAAGTGCTCTTCAGGCATGATCAGCCTATGTCCCCCAGTTCGCCCCTAATGCCGTTTGAGTTTGGAGCCCCGAATCGGGGTGGGGCGGGGTAGCAGGAAGACGTGTATCCTGAATTATGCGAGACGCCTTGGAGACTTTGAAATGGGAGTTTCCGAAAATTAGGGGTACCTTATTTTGTAGTCCTTTTTATACGGATCCTACTATTTAGGGTACTATAATAGGGTCCCCTATGCTCGGAAACTCCCATATCCAACGGTTCGCTTTGACTTTCGGAACTCTACAGTCACACACCTAGGATCCCAATCTACCCAATCGTTCAGAGTGTATGCTACAAAGGGTTCTGAATATTTAGCAATTCGCAATACTAAGCCCTTCCAATCCCTCTACAGTTTAAAATAGCAGCGTTTTCTGCCAAGCCCTTGTTCAAACAGGATCCACAATTGCGCGGTTTACTTGGTGAAAACCCAACCCTAAAGCCCTAAATACCATGTTGCGAACCCTCGCAAGCCCTTATCTTTGTCATAGTTGGGTAACATTTTACGTATGTAAGGGTACTTACACCCAATAAGGAATAAAACTACATGTTTCATTCTATCCCAACCATGAACTAGTTAACTCCAAACCAAGGAAGCTTCCACCAAGGCCGCCAACCTCGGGCGCCGGCCTCGCACAGGAGCGCGCGCACCGTGAAAGAAGCGACAGCGCCAACGATGTTTCTGGGGATCAGGCTTTCCAATACAATTTTGGGGTTTCCGTATTCTAATTACAGCATAATGGGCCCCGCAAAAAATCCTAATTATTCTGATTATTACGGCCGCTACATATTATTTCTGTAAGCTTTCGTACACTGTTACACTTGTGCACATGCTTAGGGGCTTGAAGGTTTCTGGGCGCGACAGCTCTTTTGGCCCACGGATTCCGCCCGGCGGGGCTCCGGGCTGCAGGGAACGCGTACTTGGAGGATCATGGGGGACTTAGTAAGTAAGGTTATAAGTACCTGAATTGGGCTTATAAGTAGTTATAAGTATAGTTTCCCTAGTTATAACCCCAGGTACTAAGTCCCATGATCCTTTAAGCAGAGTTTATTTCGCCGTGACGGTGGCGGGGAGGCATACCTCATCTGAGTATATATGCAAGAGGCTTAAGCCGCACGATACCCTGACGGAGACAGCACAACGAAGCCACGAAGGATCGTTTGATCCTTCCACCGTGACCACAACTCCAAACCAACTTTATAGCACTGAGACCCTCAGCTTGTCCCTCGCCTTTTTCGTACCATCCTTCAGGATTCAGGCTCTGAGCCGCAAGCCCTAGAGCCCAAGAGCTCTTAAAGGATCGTGGGACTTAGTAACTAGGGTTATAATTAGGGTAACTATACATATCACTACTTAAGACCCCAATTGAGGTACTCATATCCTTACTAAGTCCCATGATCCTCCTAGTAGCTTCGGCTTTGCAACCAAGGGTGCATATTATGGGTGTGGTTTGGTTCAATTCCTGACCCGGTGATGTCTTTTCTGTCTCCTTTGTCTCGGGGAGAAGGCCGAACTCAGTGTCACAAATACGGCTTTTATGTATCCCGCTGTTCGCATGAGTTCGTGGTTCCGAGATGTTCGAGGATATTCCTCTCTCCGTTTGCCAGGTTTGATGGCTTCTCTGCCGAAGCTTGTCGCCGATCTCACAGGAGGGCAGATAGCTCGCAGATCGTTTCTTGCCAGTCAAAAAGCTGGAAGAAACTGACCAGTTTTGAACGTCCGAGGGCTCTCCCGCACTGAACTGGCATCTGCCGGTAGTCTTGTGACCCAGGGCTTAAACTGTCGCATGAGACACCCCAAAGTCTTTCAAGTAAACGAAGTTGAACGGAGCCACAGTACCACGACCAGCCGAACCATAAATCCTGAAAGCCCAAGGCCTTAACGCTACGGCCCTGAACTCTAGAAGCCCCAAACCCTGTGGGAGCAATAGAGAAAGGCATATAATACTTCAATCCCATCCCTAGCCACGCCTTCAACGCAAGTCCAAAATACAGCGTAGCGTGAATCCTAAGAGGCACAAATATAGAGATCCTGCATATCTTATTTTACTACAATACCAAATTATGTAATATTAGTCTCTTCGGAGCTGGGACTAGGGTCGACCCATGTCACGTTGTCTAGATTCAGATTCATGCTGGGTTTCTCATAATGCTCACCTCGGGAAAGGGGACCCTAATGTAGAGAACCTCATGGTTGTTAAGAATGCTAAGAGCATTTGGACGGCTCTTGGAAGAGTGCTCTCGGACGTTCTTCTGAAGTTTGGGTCGCATCTGGTGCGGTTTTGAGCTCTCAGGCACAGCGCTGAATCGGGGCTCCAGGTCTTAAGCTGTTCGGGGTGTTGGCCCCTTGAAGATGTTCGTCCCATCCTGACCAGTCCTGGAACCCAAACGCCCCATATCCCAAATCCGATACCCAAGATAGACCTGGACCCCGAACCCCACACCCCTATATAAGCCCCACACCCCAATCCCGCAATTGTCCGTATTATGGGTGGAATACCTCCAGTAGATGGAGCTAGAAAACCCCTTGGGGGGTCCTGGTCCTCAACCCACAGCCTCAAGCGCCATGGCGGAATCAAACTCTCCTCGAGAATGGTTATCTCAGTCGGAGGAGGCGTGTCTTGCTGCCGCGGGGTTGGGGCTTTAGGGTTTTTGGGCTCTGGTGGCTGGCGTCGAATTCCAAAGAGTCCCAAGTACCTATACAGTATGTAGATTGAATGTAGGGTACTATGGGAGGAGGTAAGCTACTTATAATTTGGGAAGGTATCCCCCACAACAGTAGCTAGGCCCTTCCGAAAAAAATCACATGTGATGTTCAGGTTTGGAGTAGGATGAAGACTTCAGGGTTCAGGCGGCGTCGCGAGCTCGCGGCAGCGTTTGCTACAAAAATGCTCTTCCTACAAGGATAAAGACGTACAGAGCCACGGTTTAGGGTTTAGGGACCCAAATTGCTACATTGCATCTTCGGAACCATAGTCGTGGCAATTACACTGCATTTGATCTGCGAAATGACAAGATCAAGGGCGTCCATCGAGGCCACGCGCTGGAACAAGTGTGATTTCGAGCCCGCCGACCAACCCGAACAAAAGGTCACAATGACCTGCTCAATCCCGGAACGCTTGCACCGATTCCCTCCAATCTCCTAGGTCCTAGCTGCTGTTCTTAGACTCATGATTGCATTTCAATTCTATAGCCTGAAGTCTTCAGCTCTACATCCCAAACTTTGCGCAATGAACCCAAGCATGCTAATCAAGGAGCCGGTGGAACCACCACCCACAACGAATCCTGTGCTACCGAGGCGCGAGAAAGTCGTGCTTTCTGCATCCTTTCGTCAATTGTAGTTTGGGATCCGGTGCCTCTAAACCCTAAATCCTAAACCTTAAATCCTAAGCCCTAAACCCTAAATCCTAAACCTTAAACTCTAAACCCCGAATAACCCTGTTTCTGGTGGTTCCGGGGTCACCCGGATGGAGGGGCGAAAGTCAATTTTCAATTTCTTGGGCTTGAAATTTTGGGCTTGTTGCTTGCATGCACCATGGAGTCCTCTAAACCCTCAACAGACGAAACAAAGAGGCACAAAATCCTGAGCCGCAACGACCTCAACCCTGAAACCCCCAAACTCCTTGAGCCCTAAATCCTAAACCGTAACAGTCCCTGAGTCTCCAGAAATCCAGCTCTGAACCTCCGGAGCTACACCTATATGCGCAGTACTGCCACAGAGTCTCGGGTTTGTGGTTTCTATGGTTTTAGGATTTCAAGGTTTGGGTTTTTAGGGTTTAGGGTTTGCGGGTTTAGCGAACGGTGTAGCTTCCTGCCACTCCATCGAAAGTACCCGTGCTAGCTAGTTCTCGACCCGCAGCCATTAACAGAGATTCTGATAATGTTAAAGACGACAGTACCTATAGTTCTCTCGTATTTCTCGATGATGATGATGATGAGGTATAATGCAGAAAAAAGCTGTCTCATACCATGCACATCCCCATCGATAGATCATTCTGAGACAGCAGAGATCACGCCCAGGCCAGGCCACGTTTGGCCGAATCAGGCCTGCGGGCAAGAGACGTGCTTTTGCTTAGAAGCCCAGTCTAGACACAGTTTTGCAAAGAAAGCACGTTTCGAATAAATACAAAGACACTCGAGCTTGCATCAGGAACTTGTCCCTTCACCACCATAGCCGAGTAACCCAGTACATACGTGACTGGGCTTCCAAGGGGTGTGCTTTGTGCATGTTCTGTGGGTTTGTCTAGGATAGAAGCTCAGGGGATCTCTTCAAGCAGGGGTGTGGCGTGTTTGCTGGCCATGGACTTCCACTGTCCTGTCTTTACGCCCGAACTCTACTGTAGGGGCCTAAACGAACACCTGTACTATTTTGGAGGCTGCCTTTTTATAGTTATAGTCTATAGTTAAAGTATAATGGGCCCCAAAACCCCACTCTACTTATTAAGACCCCTATATTAGAAGCTTCAGGTTTAGGGGCTAGCGTTTGGGGTTCACCGTTCGCCAGTACATCTGCACAGGCCCTCATACCCGAACAGCTTTACCCCCGAAGCCCTAAATGAAATGCCAAGCGACCGCACCACAGAATTATCTTCGTTTCGGGTTGGGCGTGGAGGTACAGAGTGGAGGGTTTAGCACAAGCCTTTGCGAAGGTCATGCTTTACTTCAATCGATAACTTTACGGACTTTGCACGATTTCGCAGATTTCGAAGCAACCCTAAACCTAAACAACCCCAAACCCTTTTCCCAAACAGCCCGAAACCCTACAGTACCTCACCATGAGATCCCCCCCTCATGAGATGCTGCTTTGCGCGAGGATCTGGGCCCGTGCACTCCGGGTGAGGGAGGCCTGATTGCTGTTCTTGGCGACAGAACTTTATGTCGGTGGTTGTCAAAATTAGGGTCCCTTTTTGGGTCCTTATTATAATACGGCACCTCATGCTTAGGGTACCCAAAAAGGGACCATAATTTTGACAACCACGCATGTAAAGGGTAATTTGGGGCTATAAATTTAGGAGTGTTTTGTTTAGGGTTCAAGGCTATGGCTTCAGGAATACAGTAGATGTGGTTTAGGGTATAGTGCTGTGAACTTAGGAAGATTTAGGGTTTAGCTTAAGAAATTCAGGCTGAGGGCCGTGATTTGGGAAGTTTTAGAGTTTAGGATTGCGTAGTGTAAGTAAGAAGCAATACCAACAGCACATGCGAAGACGACTGCGAATTCGTGAGATAGCCAATCCCACATGGACTCTTTGGGAATGATCCGCGAAGCTTCCCCTGGCGCGTGTAGCCTGCGTGTCAACACATGGGTGGCTGTCAAAATTATGGTCCCTTGTTGGGTACCCTAAATATTAGGTGCCGTACTAAAATAGGGACCCAAAAAGGGACCATAATTTTGACAACCATCTGTATGGATGTTGCAAGCACACAGAGGGAGAAGTAGCATGAGAATGAACACGAGAAACATCAGAAGCAACCTGAAATCCTAGACTCCAAACTCTACACTACACAACTTCTGGTACCTTGAAAACCCTATCAAATCTAAATTCTGAATCTGACGTCAATAATAACAACTTTCAGCCCGTGCCATAAATGAACGTTTTTGGGGGGGCAAGGGCTGAATTGTTGTCGGAGTCAGCTGCAGGAAGCTGTTCATGGCCTTATAGGGCTTTGGGGTTTAGGGTTTCAGGCTTTAGGATTTACTGTAGGCTTTGGATGTGATGCGAGCGTCAACACAAGGCAAACACGAAGTCCAGCGTTCAGGGCTTCGGGATCCCGTAAACCGAGGCCTCTAGACTCGACTTCCTAAATCCTCGATCCCGAACCCTATTCCACGTTTCTGCGTTTGAACAAGGGGTATCCTCGTCTACCAAAGTATCTGATCGTCGACATGCCTAGGGAGTTTGGTTCTCCCGGTACATAGGCCACAACAATGGTGTAGGATAGGGTCAGGGTCGATCAGGGAGCATAGATTTAAACTACCACGTTCAGGCTTCTATATTTGGACTCTTGATTCTTGCACTGGGCCATCCTAGTTCTTGCAGTATTCCTCAAGGCTTCGCTTCTTGTCTCTCCGTCTTCCTCAATGCTGCCAGAGTGTATGCACATGATTCTTGCATTGCGAAAGGCATGACCGGAAGCGTGGAAGCAATCTACGCCATGCTTCACGAAGTCCGCCGCGAGGTGCCGGCACAGTGTGATAGCGGCGGAAATTACTCTCAGACTATTTTGCTACTCTTATTGCAGGCTTCATCTAACTGATATATACTATTTTGTTCATGTGAGCCCGTTGCACTGCAAGGAAAGCAGTTTTAGAGCACCCCTCCCCATGGACTAACCTTCATGATGGACCAGTTTAAAGGAACCCTATATAGCATGGTTAGCTGCATCACCCTTCAGGCCCCTTGAAGCACTCAAGCTGAAGCCTAGATCGAGCTTGAAGACTGCAAGGCTAAGGGCTTTGGGTTCGGGTTTAGGGTTTAGGGTTCAGAACAAGACGAAGGTTCTTTGAAGGAGCAGGGTTTAGTTCTCAGCATAACTTTGACGACCAGCTCCCAAGGAAATGCTCCCGTCACCAACGTTAGATCACAGTGCTGGAAAGCTTCTCCGACCATATTGGAAGCTTCAGGGCTTCTAAGCCTTCCACCACAACCGGTTTAACGCGGGTTTACGGTTCGCTGGGAGACCTCTAAGCCTCAACCCTCTACGATTGCAACCACTGAGAACACCAGCATGGAAGCCTGAACACATCTCAATGCCGCTCCTCGGCAGCCCGGAAGACTAGGCATGAAAGCGCCGGCTGCTAAAGTTCCTGCCCACCTCCCATTTGCAATCGCAATCGGGTTCTCTGCAGGTGCTACTGGAGCTCAAAGGGCAGCACGAGGCGACAGCATGATTGATGCAGTGTTCAACGTCTAACTGTCTAACTGAAAAGTCATGAAAATTATCATTTTTATTTTTCTTATTATTACTATTAATATATATATATATATATATATATTTAGTAATATTATTACTACTAGTATTATGGTTATTGTGATTATTATTAGTATACTACTATTATTGTCATTATTAACATTATTGTTATTATGATTGTGTATATATATATATATATGCATCCAGAGATCATGCATTCAAGATCTCTTCGGCAACTGGAAGTCCAGCCTGTGAACTGATGTTCGGGAGGGTTTAGAAAGTGCTTTGCAAGATAGCAGGGCGATGAGCCTGATGCGGCAGTACAGATGCAACATCCATGGTGCCTGACATCTGCAGAGTGATTCCCCGGCAGGTTGTCAACGAGATTCTGTCCAGGCAGCGACGGCCGTGGAATCCTCCTGGTCTTCATTAATCATTAGGCCGCTGTAAAGCTCAAAGGTCAACGGCTGAGGGCCCAATGCTTATAAGGGTGTACCGGATTAGGGACACCCCAAACCCCAAGCCACCCCCTCACACAAACTTGCAAACGCAAACCTTAAGCCTTATGCCACATACCCTTCAGCAACAAGCTTTCATATCGGAGTCGGAATGATCGGCATCACTATTCCCTCAAACTCCTTGTTCTTGTTATTTCGTTTCATAAGTTGCCAGGCGCACCTCTTATGGAACTAAAGAAGCCTTTAACGGAACCCTTGCGAACCCCTATGGAACCCTAAGGCCCTACCTCAACCTACCAAACCCTACTTTTATGTAGGCTCTTATTACAAACCCTAATATGGAATTTATAGGAACCTTCAAAAAGGGTAGGTTCTCGTAGGTTAAGGTATAAGGTAGAATGTAGGGCTTCTATAGTGGAAGTTGCTATGATGGTTCGGAAATGTATCCCCCATAGTAACGTTACCATAGTCCGTTGCCCCATAGATCCTTTATCATACCACCATAAGTCCTTTACAATATTACAATACCTTTATAGATCCTTTATAGTATCCCTATAGATCCCCTATAAAGATCCCTTAAAGGTACCCCTACGTAGATCCCTATCCTTACAAGGCTCACACCGAAGACGGCCTTTTCGGGCTCCGGCGCGGCGTCGGCGCCGGCGAAGGCTTTCCGCCCTGTGCAGGGTCACGTGCTGAAAGGCCTGCAGATGATCGAGGCGCCGGGGATACATATAGGGGGGGTACCAGTAGGGACCCAGATAGGGGTTCTATATGGGATCTATAGGGGTGGTTGTCAAAGATAATGTCCCTTTATAAAGGGTCCTCGATATAATGCGGCACCTAATATTTCAGGTACCCCAAAAAAGGGACCCTGATCTTGACAACCACCCTAATAGAGTTACTATCAGGGTTCCTTTAGCCAATAGGGCTGAGGGTGTCGGGTTCGGAGATTTGGGTGTTTAGGGGTTTAGGGTTACGGGAGTCTTGGCCGGATGATGATCGAGGCGCCGGGGTCCCCTAAAGGTTGCCTTCTACTTAAAGGGTCATGCGACTTGGTAACTATAGGGTTATAATTAGGGTAACTATACTTATAGCTGCTTATACCCGCAATTAAGGTACTTATAACCTTAATTACTAAGTCCCACGATCCTCCAAGTAGGGATCGTTTTCAGGGCTCCTTTAGGGAATCCTTCAAGGGTTCAGGGTTTTGAATAGGATCGAGGGCCCAGGGTTCCTTCAAACTTTAGCCAACGGGTCCTAAGCACCTCTTTGGTAGCTGTAGGGATTCTAAAGAAGAATTCACCATGATGATTTGGGAATGTATTCACACCTAGGCTCCTTGGAAAAGTTTAGAGTTTGGGGCTTAAGGCTTGATTTTATGGGTTGCATAAGAGAAAGGGTTTAGGGATTGTTTAGAGTTTCGGGTTTACCATGGGGGCTTTTCCAACGGTATTGCAGGGTCTCTATGTGGTCTTACTTTAGGATTCAGGGGTTTGGGGGTTGAGTGTGTAGGGCTTGAGGGTTTCGGGTTCGGGGGTTTTGTTGTTTAGGGGCCTGAATAGGATTTAGGGGCTCGGGGGCTTAAATAATTACCAATACTATTGGAATAGGGTTTCTTTCAAGGGGTCTTATAAGGATGTACTAGGGTTGAGGGCTTAGGGTTCTTGGGTTTCGGGTTCAGGAGTTTAGGGTTTGGAGTCCCGAAGGGTTCCTAGGTGTTGCTATGGGGGATACATGCCCAAATCACGATAGTGATTCTATCATATAGGTGCTTAGGACCCTTTGGGCAAGTCTATGGGTTTTGGTATTTCGGGTATTGGGGTTTATAATTTGATTTTGCGTTCCCCGGTAAAGCCACCTACAGGAAACGTATATTATTGAAGCAGAAGATACTGCTGCTTCGCGTACACACCTGCAATCCGGAGCATGAGTCTTGCGATGCAGATTAGACTAGATGGATATGGTTTGTTGTTTGTTCGGTTTAGGGTTTAGGGTTCGGTGCAGCGCATCACCGAACACTTTCAAGTCGCTTGAAGTTGATCCGGTCAGCACTAAAACTTCGCAACCGTCTCATGCTCTGTATCGATTATGCTTAGTTGCATCCTGCGTAGATAGGTAGCCTGTGGTTTTTGATGAAGAGCTTCTTCAGCCAATGGGGAACTTTAAACTTTTTTGGCATTACGTATGTACAGTCCATCTGAGAAACATTGAACATCTTTGGGCCGGGTTACTTGGAGGTTCATGGGTAGCTCTAATTGGGGTTATAAGTAGGGTAAGTATAGACTTATAACCTATTTATAACTACCTATTAGGGACCCCAAAAGCACATGAACATGAGCATTTTATGGAGATATCCCTACCTACGGTGGATGATATAAATCCTGCATGAGTTTGTAAGACACAGGCCGCTCCCCTTGAACCCCTGAATTTTAGCATTGTCGCAGGCGGACGTGCTCTGATAGGACCGTGCGAATGATATAAATCCTGCATGACCTCCCCTCTGACATCAACATTGAAATTTAGGGGCGCGGGGATGCAACTGCTTTGACGATACATGATGGGCTGACCCACAGTCATGCACGATTTATATCATCAACAGTATTATTGGGCTTCATTATAAGGGGATTTATATGGGATATCGGTATCCTAATTTTTGCTTATGTGCTTTTTTGAGGCCCTAACCTATGAACCTCCAAGTCTTGAAGAAGAGAGTGTGCCAGCTTCTGAGGCTAAACCACATTTAATTCCTTCAGAGTCTGGGCTGCCCAATCCCCAAGGCATGTGAGCCTGTCTTCGATCACAGTAAGAAGCCTAAAAAACCTGATGAAACCCTTCAGTGAAGCCTTTGCGTACGTCTGTATTGTAATATACATACATAAGCATGCATATATATATACATATATATATATATATATATATATATATATTTGTATATGGATAGAGGGTGCGTCGCAATACAGGCAAGTGTTTTTCGAGTAAAACAAGCGGTTTTAACATAGGTCTGTACGATTTTATGGAATAGCGTCTTACCTCATGCCACAATTTTCCAAGATGATGACACGATCTTCATTAAGTTTATCTGAATTAGTATATGGAGTGGTGGTTGATAAAAACATGTGTGCATTAGTTATTTCTGGTATTTCGGTTTCTACAGAGTGTTCGGTTTGCCATCCTTTATCTTTCCTTAAAGCCTGGACATATAAGTAGTCAATATGTTCCTTGATTTGTTTATAACTTCCTGTTGAAGCTTGACATCCAGCATGTCTTTCCATGGTTTTGATAATGACAGCCATCATGCTCTACTAGCTGGGATTGAAGCAAAGCCTTTCTGCGTTACCGTGTTAGTTATGTTAGTTAGTTGTACCCCTATATATATATATATATATATATATAGTTCATACATACATGACACACACATGTGTCTAGATACGCACACATCTGTATATATATATATATATATATATATGAAGCCTGTACACCCATATGATTATAGGTATATGTATACACACCCACGATGGTTCCTTTTTTTGCAGGAGGGCAAAGTGGCCTCTCCTAAGTCTCCGTCCTCTTCGCCACCGTCGTCTCCCAAGGATAGCCCCACACTTACCTTTGGCTAGTAGGGAATAGGGCTCCTTGAAAGGGATCTATAGGGGTTTAGGGTTCCTTTAAAGGGATCTTTACCTTTGGTTAGTAGGGAATGGAGGAATGGGGTACAATTATAACTACTATTACTACCGTTCTTCCATGCCCTACTAACCAAAGGTAAGCACATGGTCGATTGGGTTGAAGGTTAAGGTTGGTTTAGGGTTTGGTGTGTAGGGGTTTAGGTTTGTGTAGGGTGTAGGTTTGTTAGGGGTTTAGGGTTTTAAGGGTTTAGGTTTGTTTAGGGGTTGGTGGTTTAGGTTTTAAGGTTTTAGCTACAATTATGGTCGAGGGTTTGTGTTTTCAGTTTATAGGTTTTCTTGGGCTCTAGTATAGGATCATTGTCGTTGCTTTTGGTTTCCTAGGCTTGTCAGTGTGATTTTTGGGAACATTGTTGCATCAGTCCGATGGATGCATGTCCAGCAAGTGTCAGCAAGCGCGAGGTGCGTAGAAGGCGTAGATGTCTCTGCCCTGAGTCCCTGCATAACCTAAAGTGCCCAAGTGCTGCGTCCGACGAGTGTAAAATTGTACGCATGATGACCTGCTATCCGCCGGCTCTGACAGGAGTGTGAAGCTGTGGCGAAGAAGTCCAGTGACGCTATGGGAAAGAAGGGGAGTGGGTCCGAGAACAGGAAGTCCATCACATCAGCCGCAGGCTCAGTCTGCTTCGCCTTCGAGTTGTGCCACGTTGAGGGCTCGCTTTTTGAGTTTCGAGGCAGGCTTATGAAGGGACACTGAAAAGCATTCTGAATGCTTCAAGCAGCCCGCATCTCAGGTTCTAGGCGCAAAGATGTTCCCTATGACGAGCATCGCACTCTTTGGTGTTCCCTAAACCCTAAACCCTAAAAGCAAGGTGGGTGGGGGTAGGAGCCTTCTTAACCGGCTTCGGGAGCTGCTTGGGTCACAAGAGCCCTCATCATGTGGTAGCATCAGTGTGAATCTGCAGGTTGATGGTTTAGGGGTTTAGGGTTTGGGGTGTAGTTTCATTATTGCACCGTAACTTACTATTGAAGCCTCAGTCGATTTTGGTAGAGAGCTTGCCCAGGTGACCGGACCGGAAAACGGAGACAGGACAGGCCATGCATATCCGTTTGCTTGTCGGGGCACAAGTAACATTAATCAAACTCGAAGCCAAATGCTTGCCAACTTAAAACCCTAAACCCCGAAGCCCTAAACACTTGTAAGCCCTCATTCCTCAGCATTAGCCTGAAAGCCCTTAAACTAAATCCTAACTCTCGAACATGATCCTTAATAAAGCAACCCCCTTAACCCTGGCTTCCAATTATGAAAATTGAATCCCTAAACCCTATTATCCATAGACCAAAAGGAGGTCCCGGCGAAACAGCGGCCGAAACGCCGCGGGCCGACTCTTCAGCTCCATGACTCGAAAGTTTGAGACCGGACCACTTTAGGAGCTGCTTATCTTAGATATCCAATGGGGGAACTTTGAACTTTTTGGCCTTATATATTTGGTCTATCTTAGAAAGTTCAAACTTTTTTGGGCCCGGCTATTGAAGGAGAGAGTAATAACAAGGGTTTCCTCACGGGTGTCTCTACAGGGTTCTAGAACAGACAGAACACGGTTGATGACCGACATGCCTGACTGCAGGATGATAACCGGCGCGACCTGCTAACTTGGGGTCTTATTGCTAATTAGTAGGGCTATTTTACAAGTTACTTTTGTAGTTAGTACTAGTTAATATTAGTTAATAATTGAATCCCACATCCCAAGCCCCGCAATATCTACACCCGAAACTCGGAACCGAAAGCCATGCCTTTGGCTGCAAAGCTTGCGTACATTCGGATTGCAGGAGAAGGCAGACATGAGTTTGGCACTTACGGCTTGAGGCTTCAGGGTGTATGGCGTAGGGTTTGCGTACGAGGCGTTTAGGGTGTAGGGATTCTGTGAGGTTGGGCCGCCACCAAGCGCAGCCTAGACATATCACCTGCACAGGAGATTGGTACGAAGGTAGAGACCTGAACTTGGTTATGTTGTACAAGCTTTAGTTCAAGCACCACGACATCGACCAACAAGTCGCTTGTATTGACCATCTTCCGTTGTTTGAGGAGCTGAAGCTCTTAAGAGAGACATGAAATCGTATGGCGTGGCCTTTGGTGACATATACCGCACAATGACAAATCAATGCTAACGGATCAAGCCTCAGTTATATTACGAACGCAAGCGTGCTCACCTCAGGTACCTTCTCACACTATGATCTGGCCTTGCAAGACGTGGCCGAGCGTGTGGAAGGCTCCCAATGTCCCGCGAAGCTAAACCTACTGGTGCTTACGGGAGAGTGGAGACGGGAATAAAGGGAGCACCATCAGGGAGTATATAAGGACTATTGCAGGAATCCACGCCACCACTCCCTCTGAAGCACCACAAGGTCAAGGGCTCCAAACAGAAGGGCTCCAAACAGTAGGGCTGTAGGCGAAAGTACTCGCGCTGAAGGGATTTTGGTTTCAGAAACTCCAAGATCAGGAGATGGTACAGATACGCCTTACAACCTCTGATCCCAAAACTCTCTAGTCATAAACCCTTAACCCAAAAGCATCTAGACCACGAGCTGCAGACCCTGGCGAGCCCGATGCCTCCTCGAGCATAGGATTCAACAACGCTCGGGACGGCTCGATCCATTAGCTCGAGTGCCCCTTTTGCGTCACTGACGCTATATATTCGATAAGATTCTCAAGCGAATGGTTCAGAAGGGTTTCCAGCTGAAGACTTGCCGCTCAGGCCTACGGCTAGTTTTCAGGTTTCCAAGCATGCAGCTGGTAATTTCCGATATGTCCACAAGTCCTGGCGACTGCAGGGCACTTACGGCTTGCGGTTGCGGGTGTGGAATTGACATCAACCCTATCCCCTGAACCGCAATTCCCCCAAAGCTCTAACTCCCAAAGCCTGCACCCAATCCCAAAGCCCTTAAGCAACCCCTAAACCCTAAACCCGGGAAAGCGTTGGTCTGGGGATCCGGGGCGACGGTTGCATTATCTGGACTAGTAGGCAAGACTGGCAGTTCATTCCAGTTCAGGGTTCAGTGATTGGGGTTCAGGTTTTGGCTCGAATATTTTTGGACTAAGCTTTAGGGTTCAAAGTGTATCAGAGATTTGGAGGTTTATGGTCCAGGGCTTGAGGCTTCTGACTTCCTGGTTGAGGGCGGCTACCTTTAACTTCGAAACCCTTGAGGGCCTTGGGGGGTTCTTGCGCCTACATCGGATACACTCTGGCTCTAAAGGTATTGCATAAACCCTAAGGGTCCATGTACCTAAATAGTATATGCATTGGCCTTAAAGTAATTATTCCCTATGTGGGTACGTTGGGCCCAAAGTATATACTATTTGGGTACATGGACCCTTTGGGAAAGATTCCCTGTGGCTTCGGCATGTACTATGTAAGTACGCGGGCGCTTGGGAAGATGCAGGTCTTGTGTAGTTCAGCCACAACCAGCAAGCCCTGAACCTTAGACCCTAAACCCTAAACAACACCCTAAGCTTCATGCAACCCATGAGAGGAGTTCGCAACCGGCTTACCTTCGGCGAATCCAGCGGCTTCAGCCTTACCTCGCAGAAGGCATCCGAGACTTTGCCGAAGCTGACGACCAAGAGTATAGGAGATTAGGTTTTAAGGTTTATACGGTGTTACATACAGGGTTGGGGCTAAAGGATTTCCTAAAACCTAAACCCTCAACCCTAAACGCCCAACTCCTAAACCGGTTAAGGTTTAGGCTTTAGCGTCCAGGGTTTAAGATTCACAATTGTAAATTCGATTCGGGGTTTGGTTTGAGATCCTTTGCTGGGTCCCCAGATCGTGACTGAGCCGCGCCCAACCGAATGCGTTTTGAGCTCCTTTGGTCGGCTGGCAATTTTCGGTGGTGCTGATCTACAGTTCCTTGACTACTCCATCTACATCGGCCCTAAGCTACATAAATGTAGAGTACAAATCTTTTTGTCCGCCCAGCTCAACGGCTGCTGGTTTAGGGTTTGGGTTATGGGTTTAGCGCAGTTGGCTGGGCTGTCGATGCACACGGGCCAGCTCGTCAGTGCGAATGCTTGTAGTGCTTTTCCCCCCGAATGAGATTCGACTCGGTCGAAGGATTGCGCTTGGTTCATGTTGGCGGTGGCCGAAACTCTCACCAGTCATGGATGTAGGTTTTCGGCATAGGTGCCGATCGTGACGTCAGAACTGAGGCAAGCCACATCCGAATTTGTAGGGACCTGGCGCATTGTTGGACACAGAAGGGTCTTTGTTGGGGTTCCGGGGTTTTCGGGGTTTGGAGTTGGGACTTGAGGGTTCTTTTGTTGAGAGGGCGAGCCCAGCTCCTATGAGCTTGGTCGAAGAAGGCGTGAGGGCCTGCAGGGCTGAAGCGAGGCCCCCACCTCCCATAGAGTCATACAGCCCCATAGGGTCCTAGCTACCCAAAAGAGGGGGATACTTGCTCAAACCGAGATAGTGCGCAATACAGAAACCCAACATTCTGCTATAATTGGTACTTCAGGCCTCTTCGGAGTTGAAGAGAGCTTTTGGCCTTGAAGCAGGTGCCGCTCGCGCAAAAGATCGTGCACACCCACGCCTTTGACCTCTTTTGTGCGCTGGTGCCCTCGCCGAAGCATAGGGTTTCGATATTAACTAGGAACTACCATTATGACTAAGGGAAGTATCCCCCGGAACAGTACCTAGGTCCTGCCTAAAGTCTCCATTATAGTTCCTTCTTTTGTACCTTATAAGTGCTATCCTAGTCATGTATACTAACGATTTGAGTAGTCTGTGTAAAACGAGGATACTGCGTTGCTGGTCCGAAGCCGAGATAGTTGAAGCTGTGGTTTGGCAGAGGCCCAGGGTGGTGGGTACGGATTCGCGCCATGATCCGGTCAACCCTAAACCCTGAAACCCTAACCCCTAAAACCCTAAACCCCTAAATCCTAACCCCTAAAACCTTAAGCCCTGAACCCCTAAACCCTTAAACCCTTATGACTTGAGATCGCAGGCGCCATCTTCCCTGTCTGTTCTGGATCTGTGAAGATTTGAACTTTTTTCTCGGCAGAGAACAGGCTGCCGGTGAGCTCTGATGCCTTTGAAGTCGCCCGGGAAACAGTCGCGTATTATCGGGGCCTAAATAATTTCCAATACTATTTTTTTTGGGGGGGGGTCCTTACTATAATTATAGTATACTGGGCCCCCGAATCCTATTCTAATTATTGAGGCCCCTAGAGTATGCAGTAATGACCCACGACCCAGGCTTCAAACCCTGACCAGCGAGCAAGAGTTTAAGTTTCAGGGTTTAGGGAACGTACTACCCAGACCACCAGCAAATTGAGACATGGCGGTACCTGATCCTGTCCAGGTCCTACAGCCCGATTCACCGGCACAGCATCTGAAGCCACCGATCCCCCAAACACCCGCCCACCTAAGCCAAAAGCCAAAACCGACGAGCCCAAAATTTTGGGAGAAGCCTGGCCTTCCCAGAAAGGCCTGCAAGTCATGAACCTGCTTCGACAACAACTAAGGTCGTGATGAGCAATTCGCGCCCTGGCAGCCACAGGAGTTAAATTTGTAGGAAGATGCCGATTCGTGGTGAGCTTCTTACGGTTTGGAGCCCAGGTCGTTCTTCTGACACTCAAACTAAGTTCGCAGGCTACAATTACATCCCGCTAAGGCTTAAGACTTTTCAGGCTTAGGGGATAAGTCTACGAAACTTTTGCAGCTAACATGACTGTCACTATGATTACTGTGAAGCCCGTGCTTCTCACTGCTCGCGGTGGTGATGCGTACTCCTTTCTACTGCTCCTTCAGAATGTAGCGGGTGAAATTCCCAACTCCCTAGAACCAAAACCCTGAACCCAAGACCTTAAACCCTAAACCCCTAAGAGCTTCTCAGCACGAACGTCACGCCAGGGTCTTCCTCGGGATTGCCGCTTGGCCGTTTTAGTGTCGGGGTTGGAGCACGCCGTCGTGGCTTTATCGCGCCCCCAGAGTTATATCCTAAGAGGGTTTCCTTAACATGATAATTAGGCGATACATTCCTGTATCAAGTGGGTTTCGGACATGCTAGGACACTTGGCTTTCAGGGGCAGGTTCAGTGTTTCCGGGTTTGCTTAACGCCGAAGGCCGCGACCCTGAACTTGTTTGAGTTTCTGCGATTTCTTGCATGGCAGCGGAGACACCTATCTAGGGCTGAACCCCAAACCCTCCCTAAACCCTAATCCCTAAACCCTTGCATTTTCTTTCTCCCCTTGGGTTTCGTTCAGTTGCTAAATCGCAGGTTACTCACCACGTATTACACACCCCGGTAACCTACCAGCTGGGTGACTGGAGCCCTAGCGCTTCTTGAACAGATCCGGCTTCACGAATGCTGACTGCCCAAATGCAGAAGAGGGGTGACTATGAAAGAGACTCTAATTAGGGCATGTTGAAGCCAAGAAAGGTGGTCTGCAATGGGATGCTTTTTTTTCTCAGCTTGGTTGTCCGATGGTGCGCCCCCTTCCTCCGTTCAGTGCTCGTCGTCGGCGGATCCGTCGCCTCATTCTGCGAGGTGCTGATCCGCCGGGTCGGAATCATAAGTATAGTCAGACCCCATCATCGTCAACTCTGTGTTTCTCAGACCTACAGTGCCCCCAAGTGGTCAAGCGATCGCTTGCCATCTGCATAGGACTCTTCTGTATTTTGACAGGAGCAACAGTGTTCCTGGGCCGAAGACTATATGTCGGTGGTTAGACGGATCCCTGCAAAACCCGAACATTGTTGAATCGTAAGCGCAAGACGACATAGAGTAAGATCTATACCCTATACCTCGTTGACGCCACTGAGGAAGTGCAGTCGCTTGGCTGCCTGTGCAGTGAGAAGACTTGATGCTAGTGGATTTTTATGGTTGAGGCAGACCCCCCAGCACAAAGCGCTCTATTACAGACGCCTTAATATTTTCCTATACTATATTATACCAATTAGAATAGGGCCTTAGAGCCCATTATACTACAATAAGGAGCTACCAATAATATTGGAGCTCCGTATTATAGGTATAATGGGCCCTAAAGCCCTATTCTAATTGGTAAGGCCCCTAGGCATAGACTTGCATGTGCCTGTGCCCCAACGGTGCCTTCTTGATTTAGGTTTTGCGGTTGATGATATGAATCTTGCATGACCTTGAGGACACTAAACCATGGGAATAATGGTATATTCCTGATTATGGGTAGTGCAGGATTTATATCATCAACCGTAGTAAAGGTTCCTAAGAATCAAGGGGCCCCGCTTTTGGGGAGGAAGGCAGGATCTCGGATCCCATCTTCAGGCTTTGCTGGCTTGTTGTACCAGCGTAACCTACCAAAACATACTTGATTTTGTAGGCTCTTATTCTAAACTCTACTATAGATTGTATAGGACCCTACAAAAAAAGTAGGTTTTGGAGGGTTACGGTAGCTTCTAGCCGTCCAAGTCTCTAAGCTCTAAGCTCTGAACCCTAAACCCTACGAGGCCTAAACCCTATGAGCCCTAAGCCCTCAACACTATGAGCCATAATGCCTAAACCCTTGAGCCCTAAGCCCTGAATCTTGAACATCGAACATAGGATGAAGGGAGGAACTCCTGAGCTTTGGAAGTATAGCTTTTGTGGCTGCGCGCTGGAGGAGCTGTTGGGCTTAGGTCGGGTTCCGGGGTTGCGTGGACCCTATAGTAAAACCTACCCCTTCCTGAAGGAGTTGTAGAAGCAGAGCCACGGGCCACGGTTTAGGGTTTAGGGGTTTGGGGTTTAGTTAGGGTTTAGGGGTCTAGTGTTTAGGGTTTAGGGTGGTACGCATCTTGGGTTTGAGTGCAGGATGGCCGAGCATCCGAGGTTGAGCATTCAGAACCCTGGCGAGCTTCCGCAATACATGCAGATTGTAACATTCGTGGCATGGCTGGAATTTGGTTTCGGGTGTATTGGCCGGGCTAAAATATACCGTTTTAGGGCTACGGCTGATTATGATGATGGCTTCTATCTTAAAAAGTCGCCTTTTAGGGGGCCACAAGTAGGGGTTATGGTTCATAAGGTTTGGGGTTTCCGGCCGAAGAGTATTTCAGATTGAAGCTTAAAGCTTTGGGTGTCGCTGGTGAGGCTTTCGGGCCGTGGGCTCTCAAAAGGGTTTAGGGTTCATGGTGTAGGGTTCTAAGACTGCTTGCAAAGATCGCACCCCATGGTAAAGCGCAAAGCTCCGAGTAGAATCCTTTTCTGATCTGGGAGCCATGGCACCTGCATGATTAGTGACTTCTTCATAAAAATCTGCTAACCTCGCGGTTGTAGGGTGTCGGATTTGGGTTTTCTGGGTTTACTTAAAAAGGAAAACAGCCTGCCGTTCCCAGGACCTGTGTATGGAATTCATAGTAAGGATCCCGAACACTAGGTAGGTTTCGCAGTCTTCATGTAGGGTTTAGGGTTTAGGTGGGTTTCTGCATCTGCACTCTTGTGAGCTTTCACACTAGGCAAACATCTCCAGCTCCACATCTGTTGTCGCGATCCCTTCCTTCCCAAAGGGTCCACGGTAATTACGTGGGGATGCTTCCCCCAACCGGCATAGTAATTCCTATTATACAACCCTTACAGTCTACTATATTAGGTACTTAGGGCCCGTTCATTTTCACGCCCTAGAAGATGTGTCGGATCGGTGTTTCCCATGTGATAATTGTGGTGTTGTTCTTCTCGTTTAGAGTGTCGAAGTCTCCAGCAACCAGAGACTCCAAAACCTCTTGATGGACGATACTCTGAATTAATAGAGGGAGCCTAATTGACAATTCAGAGTTAAAAATATATTCCTTCACTAAGGGGGTTTCGGAGTCTCAGGGCTTCCTGGGCCTCTGTTTGCAGCTTTTGGCTTCGGTTTTTATCTCTGTCGACCCGGCTCAGCACTCACTTCTGAAAACTCCAGCTCCCGGGTATGGGGTTTGGGGTTTAGTGATCTCTTACACTCAAGCCCCAAGGCACGCTCAGTGAGGGCTATGCATGTAAACCCAGAAACCTGGAACCACAGACCCCTAAACCCTAAAGCCGCGAACCTAAAAGCACAAACCCTAAGCCTCAACCCCCTAAGCCCCTAAGCCACCCCAAATCTCTAAACCCTTTAAATCCTAAACCCCTAAACCCGAAATCCTCAACCCAAGACCCAAACCCTAAACCCTAAATTTTAATTCCTAAGCCCTAAACCCCAAATCCAAAGCCCTGGAAAGTCCTACGCCGGGTTCTTCCTCCTTGAGCTCCTCCTGCGAGTTATGGCCGACGGGCTGCAGATTTTCTGCAACGACGACTGGAACCTCGCTGGCAGACTTCTGGGTTCTTGTTTAAAGGATTTAGTTTAAGGTACCATAAAGGGTCCATACAGGATTTAGGATGGAGGGCTTAGGGTTCAGGGTTTAGGGGGTAGCAGACTTTCTTTATGGATTTTGGTTTAGGGTTCTATTTACCCTACACTTAAGTTGTGGCAGCAGACTTTCTTTACAGATTTTGTGAGGGTTTAGGGTTTAGGGTCTTAAGTATCCTACGAACCAGTAAGTTGTGTAGCTCAAGGTTGTTCAGAACAGTGTTCGCAAAAGGATCACCGGCTCTTCTGGGAAAACGCGTTTCGGCTCTATAAAACCGAGAGAGGGGGAGCTCTTTCAAGGCCTACAAGGCCGCAAAATAGGGCAGAGGGTTGAAGTATCATGCTAAATTGGTGGTTGCTTCTCTATATGTTACAATTATGTGACAATCTCAACCCCGAAGCCTAAAACCCCCAAACCAAGCCGAAGCCCAAACTGCGAACCTTTAGGCATGAACCCTAATTGCAAAGACTCGCAGGGCTGGTATGTTGCGACTTAGGTGAGCCCCGTGCTGAGAACTAGGCTATAAAGGACATCCGGAATCCACATGATCGAAGCCTAGAAGCACCGTATAATCCTGTATGAGCCATGCTAGCCCTGAAATAAGCCACATAGGGATCTAGAAGACCTGAAACGAGCACACTCTAAACACCTCAAACTCTATAGACCCACGACCCAAGAACTTGGCATTCTAGGAGCCTGGGTTGTAAAAATGTTAGCCAGGGCCTTCATTGTACGGGGCATGTCTTTACTTAAAGGTTCATGGGACTTAGTAACTAGGGTTATAATTAGGGTAACTGTACGTATAGCTACTTATAACCCCAATTAAGGTACTCATAACTATAGCCTTACTTACTAAGTCCCATGATCCTCCAAGTAGGCTCAGTGTGCCTGGTCCGAGCTGTTGCAATTTCGGCGGTTCTCTGAACTTCGCAACCCTATCAGGGAGTCCCGTAGTCTTGAACATGGTTGCTGTAGTGAGTTTGCAAGAAGGGAACTGCAGTAGCAGTAGCAGTAGCAGTAGCAGCAGTAGCAGTAGCAGCAGTAGCAGTAGGAGTAGGAGTAGGAGTAGGAGTAGGAGTAGGAGTAGTAGTAGTAGTAGTAGTAGTAGTAGTAGTAGTAGCAGTATTAGTAGTAGTAGTAGTAGTAGTAGTAGTAGTAGTAGTAGTAGTAGTAGTAGTAGTAGTAGTAGTAGTAGTAGTAGTAGTAGTGGTAGTGGTAGCAGTAGCAGTAGCAGTAGCAGTGGTAGAAGTAGTAGTAGTAGTAGTAGCAGTAGTAGTAGTAATTGCAGCAGTGGCAGCAGCTTTGCATTGCAGTCAGGGCCCTGTGATTTAAAGACTTTCCACCCGGGGATGCAGAATGGACGTATGCTTAGGCAGCAAATTTGGGTGGCACGCCGCCCGCACTTCAGATGCGTGACAGCTGTATAGTGATTTGAAAATCGGTGCATGTGCTGAGGGTGTAAACACGCACAAGGTGCGAGCTTGGCAGCATGCCTCAAGGAAGGGTTGCAGTGCCAGTTGATATCCCAAGGCCGATCAACCTAGGTACTCACTTAGAAAAAGTGGGAAGCAGATCGCAATTCTGCGAGCTTGTGCCGGCGGAGGGAGGACGTAGGTCTCTAAAGCCTTCCAGATCAGGCCGACCGCTACGAAAACCTCGGTGCAGGGTCTAAGGTTTTTGGCTACATATCACGAGCTTTTTCGTCACAGTGACATTGCTTCCTACCGAAGATAGATCCCCAAGAGCTTGGTCCCAATTTCTCCGACCCCAAGAAGTACAGCTTCAGAACTGATCACCGTCGTTTGCCTTCCCTTGTAGTCCAATCCAGAACCCTGCCGTTCAAAACTAATCCTAACTATAGTCTCCTTAGGAACTATTTGTTTATTTTCGTTCATATAAAACCCAAGAGAATATTCACAGTACTATGTTTATTCTGGTTCTAAAGGGCGTATAGCTAAAGCCTAAGACCAAATCCCGAAACTCCAAGCGCTCCGAGCTGAACTAGGATGTGGGGTTGGCTGGACTTCTTCGTCGTGACCATTTCCATTTGGGAGGCAACGATTCGCAGGATGTTGTGTTTAGTTGAGGGGTGAGGTTCTTCTACATTTTCGGTGTAGGAGACATAAGTCCGACAGACTCCAGATAAATCACCTGAACTACAGGGGACTTCGTGCCGGCAAACAAGCTTTAGGGTTTTGGGTTTCATAAAGCGGTCGGATTTATTGATGCATGCATGTGTGTATGTGTGCATGTATGTACGTATGTATGTATGCATGCATGGCTTCACGTATGTATGCAATATAAAATATGTCATCTCGAGAGTCATTATTTAATCAGGAATTCTCAGGAATAGTTAGCAAATATTTAGCCGCCTAGATTCCTAGATTGCATCACATCGTGTTTTGCTAGGGGCAAGGTTCGGCTCAAAGCCTTTCTGCGACTTGTCTTTTGTGCGGGATTCAAAGCCTTTCTGCGACTTGTCTTTTGTGCGGGATTCGAGGGTTTAGTTTTAGCTATGACCTAGTAAGACATCTCTTTTGAAGGACTTGGAAACGGAAATCATGACAAAAGGAACTCAAAAGGTGTGTTATTCAGGGTTCAGGTCGGGTGTAGGGTTGAAACATCCAGGATGACAGTGCCCTGTGTGGAACGAGGGTTCGAATACCGTCACCTTAGAACCCATGAATTGAGGCCTTACAGGGTCGTATAGGAAACCCCACGGCCTCGAAGCCTTCATCCGAAGTTCGGGCGCTGAACGCTTTCTGTCCAGCTCCAGGTCGTAGCAGATGTGATGGTTGTCCTGGAAGGCCAGGGGGTGCCACACACTTACACCATGTTTGTACAGGGATGATAGAGCAGGACTGCTACCAGCTGAAAGCTTGACAACCCTAAACCTTAGACCAAAATCCGTAAAGCCCTCAGCCCATTCAACAATCTGAGCTCTTCGGGCTGCGGGACCTGGAATTGGCTTTGCCACGTGGAAGCCGAGACTTCCAAAAGGGTTTAGGTTTCAGGGTCCTGGTTGGGTTAAGGTTCTTGTGAGGCTTGGCGGGTTTCTACATGTCTCGGACGGCTGGTTGGTGTTGATCAGCCTTAACCTACCAAACCCTACTTGTTTGTAGGTTCTTATTATAAACCCTAATATGGGATTTATAGGGACCCTACAAAAAAGTAGGTTTTGGTAGGTTAAGGAGGGCAAGCTACCGAGTTCCGAAAGGATCCCGACTTATGAGCTACGAACTGCTACCCCGCCGGGGCGATGTTTCAACCAGAGCCTCTGGCGGAGTGGCAGGGTAGGTGAGAATCCTACTCACGGCGGCAAACATGGCAGTGTAAGTCTGCCTGGAACGAAGCCCTAAACCGTCTAGCATCGGTTTGATCGGGTTCCAGGTGGAGGAACCTCACAACTCTTGTCTTTCTCATAGGGTAACACTGTTGCATTTTATGGGTACTTAAACCCAACAAGGAATAGAACTTCCAAATCTCTCCCGACCATGAACTAGTTTTCGGTACCTGGAACTGCCTTACGCACGGACTTGTGCTGTCCACCTTGTCCAATAAGGAATCACTTCGTGTGAGCAAAATACTTCTGAAGGACGGGTTTGGGGTTTAAGGCTTCTAATCGGCATCCTGAAGCGCCACAGCCTGAGCCATTCTTTTCCAGCACCCGCCCCGTACCCTTTAATACAGGCCTTGTGGTTCCTAATAGTCAAAATTGGGTTGGAGGGTGCTGTTTCCTACCCTAAGCCCTAGAGTGAGTTTTGATTGTCTGCCTAAGTGGCAAAGGCAACGCCAGCGGCCAAAACACAAGTGTCGAGGGCGTGAGCTCCCTCCGTGCACTCCGCATCGCCACATGTTTGCAGGAAAGTGTTCTCCACTGTTCTGCCCTAGTAGTAGAATAGGTAACCTTTGACCATTTTGGGATACTATAGCCCCTAGGTATTCGCAAGTATTGTACTCTTAAAGGGTAGCCTTTAATAGTTACCCGCTACCCAGGCCACTGGACAAGTAGGCTACCGGGCTTTATTGGGTTTTGTAGGGCGTTGTTATTATCAAGCTCTAAAGTGTTTCTATACAACATGCAGATTCTTCTTGGGTTGAGGGATTGCGACTAAATGCAGGTTATTCCCTGCGCCGGAATAAAACTTTGTAGGCTTGAGATAAAGATGTAGCTGCTCCAATCTAGCCAGCTTCCGCGGGCATTGCTGTCTCGAGCCCTGCAGTGGTGAGGGCACTTGATGCTGCAATGGGTCTCTCTCTCTCTCGCTCTCTCTCTCTACTCCGCAGGAAGAGGTTACCTTCCCGTGTGATTTACGATTACATTTGAGTTATGGTCGTATTTCCTGGGAATATCTCGACAGGGCTCCATCAGGGCACAAGGGTGAATGCAACCCTCCATAACCGATGCAAACCGGTAATCAGCATTGCGAACATGGTTCGTTGTAAGGTTCCTGGTTGCAGATCTACTACAACTATGCACCTCAGAGCCCCATTCCAATCATGAAACATGAAGGGCCCTGTATCAACGAACCCTTATAGAACACTTATGCATCCCTTCTGGTAGCCCTGAAAGAGCCGAATGCTAAAGGTCCGCATCACGCGCATCATCCGAGTTTTCTGGCGAGCACTGTCAGGAAGTCCTGCACAGGAATGCAGTAGCTGAGTAGGTAACCTTCAACCTTTTGGGGTTTATGTGATCCTACAATAGTCGAAGCCCTAAAGCCTAAACCCTAAACCCCTGCCATAATCGAAACCCTAAACCCTAAACTTAGGTCCTGAACCTGTTTTGGGCTAGGGTACTGAGCCCTGGGTGACTTGAAATGAGGCTTCGGGAGATCGTGGGGAGCTCCGGCTGATGGCCGGGCTCACCCTACTATAGTTTGTAATCTGGTAGGGTTTAGGGTGAGAAAGGTACATGGCTGATTCTCTAAACTAGGGTCCCTTTCTAGGTCCCACAAATAGTACGGCACCCTTATAAAAAAGGACCCCAGCAGGGACCCTAGCGTAGAGAACTACCCGTAACGACACATATAGTAGAAGCCCAAAAGTTGGAAAGTCAATAGCCTCAATCCTTTAAGAGTCAAGAACAAGAAATCCCAGCACTAATTGTCCTTAACCCGGTTTCTATCCTTTTGGAGTTTACTGTAGTCAGAAAACATATTGTCATGATCCAATATGACGAAAAATGCTATATTCGCCCCGCAAGCTCTACTGCTACTCAGGTTGGGAACTGCCCCCACTCTGTAATCCAGAAATATAGTTTTATATATGGCGCTTAATATGACCTCAAGTATGGACTGTTCGAAGGTGCGGGCAGTTCCCAAGTTCCCAGAATTCAGGGATTTGCACTGGGAGGCTTCTGAGCTCAAGGCTAAGATTCTGCGTGGTTATCAAGGCGGAGGTTCTGAAGATGTCGGGTTTTTTGGGGGGTTTAGGGACTGAGGATCTTAGGGTTTAGGCTTTCAAGGCTTTAGGGTTAAGGGTGTCAGGTTTCCACGGTTTCAGGGTTTTAGGGCTTCAGGGTTTGGGGTACTGGGAGCTTCGATACACGGAACCATCACCCTTGCCGCGACCGGCACTACTACCTCATCATCGTCATGCTCACAGTCGTCTTCCAATCGACGGACCGTAATCACCAGCATCGTCATCATTAGCATCGTCATCCGTTCCCTCTCGCCCTTGGTCCCGTTCGTCATCGCCAAGATATTTCGGGAACCATGTTACGAGTGACGGCAACGACACGGATGAAGGATGCCATCATGTTCAGAAAACTCACAATACACAAATCAACTCACATGGTTTGGTGAGGGCTAGGCATACCATGAGGAACGTCCTGTCTCGTATATAGGGGGCAACAGCATAACCTTGAAGAGCTCGCATCGAAGAGTGGTTCTGTACCATTCCCCAAAGGGTGCTATAGGTACCTATACAGTAGAATGCAGGATTCTATGATCGGAATTACTAGTATGATTTGGCGAAGTATTCCCAGAACCTTTGGGATTCATTGAGGTTGCCCGCTTGATGCGGGTTTTCCGCTTCGTGATGGCGTTCCGCACGCTCATCACGCTCCTTGAACAAAGGGGGCCAGAGAGGGTTTTTTGGGATAGCAGTTATTCAACTGTAGCATCACGGGACTGTGACGGACGCTGGCCTTTGCATTGCTGGCGTCCTGTTTATGATTATCTGACATGGACTAACCTTTGCGAGACGATCAGGTAAAAGTCTGCTATCCGTGTAATATGGCAGTAGGCAGCGTAGGCCTCGGAGAGTTATACTACTGTTCGTATCGCATGCGGCACGTGGTGACTTTTCACCAAGACACATGTTCGGTTCCGGTACCAAGGCACACTGCAGCCCGCGTTATCGAATTGAGTATCCCTGCAGTGGGATCGTGACGGTTATGCAAAGGACTTCATCTCCTAATCGTGAGGCCGAACATCCAAAGAGGGGTGCCCACAACAGCATCAACGAAGCCTCGAAACGCAAAGAATGATGTTGTCCTTCTCACACCTGTGGTGGCGAACGTGTCGTCACGCCTCTTACGCTGGCAAGCGGGTTGTAGCACGGCGAATGGGTACTTTACGGCCTCGCTGTGCACTGAGGACATTGGGTTTAGATCGGGGCTTTTATGTGCAAGCCTGTGCCCGACCAGACACTGTCAGAAGGACCCTCGCAGATACGTTTAAGGCTTTATAGTGCCTCAGGTCGATTGCATTCACGCTCAAATCGCTGTTCTGGGCATTGATGCTGCTCTTCGTCATAGAGCCTCAGCTGAAAAGCAGGTTCACAAGGGGTCACGTGCTCAGGGATTGGATAGCGTTTCAGTCTAGGCTGTAACTAGCTACTGTGTCTCGAAATGTGTGGCTTTGTGCTTGTGTCCTCGGTGAGCTCAGGAGGACCTATCTACCTATCATCTATCCGTCTCCATTTGTCTATAGTTATGTACATATACACGTATATGTAGCAGGGGAACGTGTGCTGCGCCGTGAGTTCTAGGAAGTCATTTGGACCCCTCTTATCCCTAGGGGTCCATGTTTTCATACAGTATATACCTTGGCCTTACAGCAGTCTCTCGATGGAGGTGCTTTAATGCCAACGTGTAGGCTATAAGGGTACCTGGACCCGCAGAATATCTCATGTTCACCAGATATCGGAAAATGCAGTGGAACTAGTCAAAGGCCTGTGAGGTCGTCTTTGTGATCAGATCGGCTTCATTTAAGACTATATAGGATATACAAGCCCTTGAAGCGTGTACAGAATGCTGCAAAATACTACCCGGTCCGAGTGCCAGAACCGTGGGTTCAAGAGACATGACCCCCTCGTTTCTTTAGTTGTTGAGTCTTGACTTAGGATTCAGGGCTTAGGATTTAGGATTTAGACTGTCTTGGGCTCGGGGTTTAAGATTTTAATCCTGGACATGTCAACCTCCGAACTTGAACCCTTAACGACGTCATCCTCAACTTCCAGCTGTCAGCCTTGTTTCAGAACCGTCGTAAGCCTACACCCTCAACCCCGTAAATCCTGAACTCAGAGTACTGGATCCTGGATCGATCTGGTGTGAACTGCACCGAATATTTGCCAGGGCCGCTGATGTTATGCGTGAATGCGGACCCATAAGCGCATTCCGTTCATGCATGCCTCTATCCATCGTTAGCCTCTTGGGCCAAACACTCTTTTCCCACACCCAGGTTCGGCGGAATAGGGTTCTAGTCCCGAGATAAGTATGGTAGAAGATGAATCAAGCAACACGCTGTTTCAAGTATTGAGGCACATATACTTGGAAGTTCATGGGTAGTTATACGCGGGGTTATAGGTAGGGTAACTATACTTATAACTCATATTAGGGGACTTATAACCCTACTTATCACTACCCATGAACCTACAAGTAAAGCCTAAACCCTAAACCCTTGTAGAATCCCTAAAGATCCCTGTAAAGGGACCCTTCAAGGAACCCTTGTAACGGTCTGCAATCCCTCCAGGTCTATGTTTTTGCTGTACTTTTTGCTCAAGTGGCCACACGGCTGCTTCAGTCAAGAGCCACAGTCCTACAAACCCCTAGGCCCCCACATAAAGATCCTGCAACAAGAATGAAAATAATCATAAAAATAATAACAGTAGAAATAGTAATGCTAACAATAATAATCCTACTACTAATAATAATAATAATAATAATAATAGTAATGATGGTGTGGGTTTCGGGTTGAAGCTTGTGGGCTGAAGGCTGAAGCTTCATCTAAGGTTGCCTTTCAAACATGTGGATTTCTTCGGTTCACTTCAAGCCAGAGTTTCAGTGAGAGTTGACCGATGATAGCGTTCTGTGACATCGAACCACCCCGAAGCTCTGAGGCAGTGGGACAGGGTAGAGGATTATACCCGAAGGCCCCAAGGTAGTTCCTTTTGGGGGTTCAGTTTTAGAATCCTATTTTTCTCCCAAAAAGGAACTACTTTGGGGCCTATGGGTAGGTGTTAGGGAAATACAGTCGGAATCCTATAGGTTTGTGATTGCATTTAGGATCCAGGGCATTGAATTTGCAGCTTAAGCCAGCGCTCCCTGACTCCCTGAGCAAGTTCTCTTGCCTGTGAAGATCACGCAGAGGCACTTCCCCTGCATCCTCAGCTCGAACACAGCACAACCCCAAGCCTAGCCTTGAGCCTTAAGCCATAACCATCAGAATCGACCTAGACCCCCCCCAAGTACCGTTTACTGAACCTTATGAATACCCACTATTCGGTTCTATTAAAGGGCCCTTGGAGGGTCCTGGGAATTATATCCTCAACCCCCTACTAAACTCCCAAGCCCTTAAGTCGCAATCATCAGAATCTAAGGTAATTTAGCCCGAGTCCCCTAACCCTTAAGCCACAATCATCAGAATCCAAGGTCAACGACTACGTCGCTGACCCGGCCAACCCGGAGTTGCCTCCGGATGAGTTCGCGAAAAGCCAGCAGCCTCGTGACTGAGAGTAGGGTTAAACAAGGCTTTATATAGGCTTTAGAGTTGCGGGGTTCAGGGCTTATAAAAGTTTAGGGTTTTAGGGCTTATACGGGTGACACCGAAGACCCTTCGAGCCCCCTTCAATCCCAAAAAAACTGACCACTGATCCTCATAGAACTCATGTAGAAGAACTAGAAAACCTTTACAGAACCACCATGAAGCCTAGACCGACCCGTTGGACATGAACATCCCTCAAGCCCTAAACCCTAGACCTTTATAGAAACCGCGTATGAATCCTAAACCCATCCCTTAGGTTTGAACGTCCCGCAATGATGAACCCCCTAGGGAATCTATATTATTATAGAACCCTATGAAACCTAGACCAGAACCCCAACCCCTTAGGTTGGAACTTGTCCCTCAAAGCTGAGGTACTTTTCATCTCTTGTGGACACCATGATCAGCTTGTTCATGTGCATTGCAAACGGGGCGACTCGGAGGGATGTAATCTCCTACGGTTGATGATGTAGATCCTTTATTACTTGGAATAAGGAATATACCATAATTTCCATAGTTTAGAGTCCTTATGGTAATGCAGATTTATATTATCAACCGTATTGAAACTAGTGTCATTATCTTTATTGTTCATATTGCTATCATGATCATATCATTATCATTATGATTATCTTTAGTACGATGTCTTATATTAGACGTGATCTCCTATCTATAGTATAATCTTATTACCATTATGGTTCTAGTATTATTAGCATTATAATTGTGATGTTTATTACCATCATGATCATGGCCATTGTCATTATGGATATCATTGGTTTTATGTCTAATAGTGTGCTTGATCTCTCGAAAGCCGAGCCTTGGGCGGTGGTTCTTGCCTGGGTACGGTCTGGGCTTGCGGTGTATAGGGTTGAGGGTTTAGAGCTTATAGGGTTTGGGGTTTGTAGGTTTCTATAGGGTTGAGGCTTTTTGGGGGCCCATGGGTTTGGGGTCTAGGGTTTAGAGTGTGTGGCCACGATTATATGCTGGCCAAGTCAGGACAAGGCCGAGGTACAGACCCGAATAGCAGGTACTCTACAGCCCCTCATGAGCAGAGTCAGGAGGGCTTCATGTCGAAAGCCCGTGGGTCTTCATAGGTGTGCAGGCCAGGGGCTTCTTAAGGGAAGGTGGCGGCCTTGTAATGAAGATTTGGATCCAGGATTTGCCAGGTCTTTGTGATACGGAATTGCAGCGGAAGCGAAGCTTCCGAAAATGTCGAAAATGTTTGCTAAACCTTAAGCCTTACACCCCAAACTGTCACCGAAGCCCTGACCCGAGCCGTTGCATCCCGGATAACTTAATACAGCCCTTAATCTTAAGAATAGGGTTTTCGAGTATTACATTACATTGCTGTAGGGACTGCAAGACATCACTGAGGATACACACGACCCTGTATTGTCTGATCCACATCGGTTCGCCTAAGCCACCGGCTAACGCCGGAATAGAACACCATTACGGATGCCTCTAGAGAGCCCTTTAAATGTCCCTTTAAAGGTACCCTTTGGGGAAGAGCTCCGATGCAGGATCCTGTGGGTGTTCGGCAGACCAAAAGACTTCTAAGTCGAGGGCTTGGGGCGACGGCTACGGCTACGGTTTAGGAAGTATAGAAGTACTTCCATTGGTGAAGTAGGGTTAGGTTTTCTATATGTTTGTACGCTTATATGTAGGTTTATATGTATTTCCGTGTATATTTTGTTACATATTTAATTGTGTATATGTATATATATATATATATATATGTATTATAGGATTTAGGGTGCGAGTGTGGAGGGTTTTTCGCTCCCGGCCGACTCTATGAATTTGAGGTGAACTGGGAGAATGTCGTGGCGCCCCTTAAGGTCATCTCACCGGCATGGACACTTCTGCTCCTCGGCGCCCCTTAAGGTTTAAGGTTCAGGGTTTAGGATTTAGGGATTACCTGCATGGACACTTCTGCTCTTTGGCATGGAAGGCCCGCAGTGTTTTGGGCGTTCAGCCGATTTCGGCTTGAGTTGCAGTATCCTTGCTGTTTTCGTATGCCTGTGCATGTCAGTCTAGACTCAAGCCACATACGTCATGTGTGCGTAGGCCGGCCATGTGCCAATGTGGCAATCCATCTGCTGGGTTTGTGATACTCTTCTCGACGCGAACCAGACCGTTGTACGTCGAAGCATATCTGCGCCAAGATGTTATAAATACCGGCAGCAGGGGTTAGCAGAGGATCGCTGCCATAGCAAAGGCGAGCTACCCGATGTGGATCTCGCCGGAAACGTGCCGCGAAGTCGCGAAGTCATAGGATCACCGATCGTGAAGAATGGATGCCGGCGAGTCTTGACGACCGGTTGTTGGGCTTCCGACGAGTGCTAGCTGCCGCCTCCATAGGCGATGTGGCTTCTCAGTCCGTCATGTAACCGAGCATACCTCAGAAACATGCAGGCACATCGGCATGTAGACCAGTGTTTGAGTCCGAAGCATGGAATCTGCTATTAAACGTCAAGCATGTATCAAAGTTTTCAGAGGTCCTGCGCAAATGCGTTTGGAATTATGGTTCTCTTTTGGTGGACACGCGGTCCAACATGCAACCATGTTCTGTGTTGCGAGTGCTGGGAGGATGCAATCGATTTCGCATGCTGATGTTGCAGAGCTCATGTTTGAGATGCATATGAGACTTTTTCAGGAATTTTGCCCGTTCGTTGTCTTGCACATGCCTGCGTTCTCACCCGACGACACTCGCTGGTCTGTTTTTTATTCTGTACTTCGAGTCGTTCCAAAGTCAGAATATACAAGGCGGTGACGTGGCGAGAGTTTTCTCACAGCTACGGCCGTGCTTCAGAATGTCCACGTCTGGACGGCCTTCATTTGTTGCTTTTCGTGAGCATTCGGTTGCTTTAGGAGTCATTCCGGTGAATCGAACGAAGAGTCCGATGCACATGTCGTTTGATTAGCGAGCGCAGTGCATGGCCGAAGATGTATTCGTTTTGCTGCTGGTCGTCATGAATGCCTGCCTTGTTTAGCGACATTGTTGGGGCAATCAGAGTTCAATTAAATACTTTCACCCCAACACTGCAGGCCCATGCAAAGTTCGAAGAGCCCCTGCTTCTATGATTCCTGAATGAGTTTCCGAAATAGGGGACCCTAATATAGTACCCTAAATAGTAGGATCCTTATTCTAAGCACCCCAAAGTACTTGGAGGCTCATGGGACTTAGTAAGTAAGGTTATAAGTACCGTATTTGGGGTTATAAGTAGTTATAAGTACAGTTACCCTATTCATAACCCTAGTTACTGAGTCCCATGATCCTTTAAGTAAGGTACCCCTCATTTTCGGAGACTCCCGGATCTGAAGCATCTCTCGCCCAGGTTTATCTTCTACATAAGTTTTACCCAGTTCGCGGTGTTGAACGTGGTGACAGGCCGGGCTGGTCCCGGACTTTCCCAAAGCCCTCATTTAAATGAAGGACTCGACCTTAAACTTAGTAGGATCCCACATATGATGCGAGGTATGTTCGTTAAGTA